AGTTTGTTCAAAATGCAGCAGCTTGCATGTTGGAACAATCACATATGCATAATGCTACTATATAGTCTCTATCTCAGTTGCCACTAGGTTTACGGTGCAATTCAAAATATTTAACCTAAAATTCTATATGGCTTGGCACCTACATACTTGTAGATGTGATCCAATGCCAGATGAATTCTTCCTGCCCCCTTAATTCTATGCTAACATAGCAAGAATAGGGAATCGCCTGTCTGGGGAGGACCTGATTGTGGTTTTCAAGCATCTTTAGACTAAAACAAAGAAAACCTCAATAAGTGATTAGTAGCTGTGGCAACCATTGAGGTTGGAGGAGCTTCTCCTAATTCCCTTTTACATATTTCCAATGTACTATCCCTAAGTCCTTCACCCCAGAGTAAATAGATCCTTTCAAAATCTTTTCTCTCCAGATTAATTTGTTTGACTTTTCATTCTTGATCAGTATTTCTATCATACTTCCCCCCCTCCCCCTGAATCCTTGCCTCTTCTTATGTTTACTCTTGTGTTTAGGACAGGTAAGCTAAATTTTCAGGAAAAGCACCATTTGCAGGATCCAAACTGGGTCGGTCACCAGGACCAGAAGCACCATTTTGTTAACTCCCGACCTGTTAATTTCTATTTTTATAACTGAAATCTGCACAATGCGAGTCTTTACAGCTGAGCTTCCAATCCATTATCTACTGTCCCTTGAAAGCCTGCCTTTTTTATTCCGCTTGACACTAATCTCTATCTCATGATCAATAAGTTTGGAGTTATTGCAATACAATCCATAAATCATCAAAAAGAGCCTTTGTCCTTTGTGAGACATTGAGTTATAAATGCACAGAGAGAAAATTCTTTCCCCTTTCTCCTGAAGCCAATAAATTCTGACTTCCTCCTTCTTTTTCTTGATGTTGCTTTGAACATCATGGGGAAAAAAAAACCCTTCTGAGCAAAACTCAGATTTTCTCTCTGCCTATTTCTAGCATTCATGTTTGTCTATCTTAAATGAAGCTCTCTTCTTCTTCGTTGGGATTTTAATATCTCAAACCATTGGGCAGGAGACAGGTGGGAATATAGGCCAGGAGGTTGCTGTTTTTCTTGTTTTTCATTCATTCTCCTGTCGCTATCTGCAGAGCACATCTTCGTCTGGGAAAAACTGGTCTAGTTTGGTAAAAAAAAAAACACCTGCTAATATTTCAGGAAAGGTTAGTAGCAAAGACAAAAAAGCAAAGTTGCAAAATATATTCATATCTTTCAATCTGTGCTATAAAGGAACACAAAAATGGAGTTGCTGGTCTCATGCATGATTTTTCCAATATGGGGTTGCATTGATCCAACAATCAACAGCTGGATATATATTCAGATAGGTGAGGTTGTTCCTTAAACACCATTATCAGTTAAAATAAGTATGTAATGACGTCTCAAGTGAGATTTGAACAGAAATCCCCAACTTTTTAGCATGTTAGGAATATTTTAATACGTTGTGGACATACTTGTAAAAAGGTTACAGAAGCCCTTGTCTATTTGTACAGTAGCTCTCTCTAGAATCAATTATAGGTCACTAATTTACTTCTAGCCAGCCCATCACAGTTACCACTGCTTATATTTGTCCTTTTTCTGAATAAGTGAGCTTGTTTAACATTGAGCTGCAGCCTTGTACAGTATCAAGCTTATGAGGTCTGTTTTGGCCTGAAGCATGATTAAAATAAAAGGGATGGTAGAGGTTGGCACTTTTAAATACTATTTGTAATATAAAATGTCAGATACTGTATAGTAGGAAGTATCTGAAGTGCCAAGAGTTTGGATTCCCAGTTACCATGCTGGGATCCTATGCTTAGTTAAGTGTGTGAACTCAGCTGTTCTGGTTTGTAAACCATAATTTATAACTTAATTTTATGTATGAATTAAGCCTCTATGCTTGGTGTAAATGTGCTATTAACACAAACTACAGCTTATAACAATATATGTGAACCTACTTGTTGCTTGTAAATGGAGGCAGAGCTTTAGGCTAACATGGACCTGTATCAATAATTTGTTTGTTTGACCTTCTTTAAAAATCTTTTTATGTTTAGGGGCATGAAAACATTACAGCCAAACTATTTTGCTCTGTTATTATATGGAGCTGCTCCTAAACAAATGATTATGATTATAATACTTAGCTTTAAGAAAAAGGGATCTTTCCCTTACCTGTTTCCACTCACATAAAGCATTTAAAGAAACATATGTATGAGGGAGGTTTTCTGCACAAGCAGGTTTTCTGCACACGTTTGTAGTCTTTTGTGTCCTTCTCCAACTTAATATCCTATTAGCATTGAGACATGCAAATTCTGCAATGTCACAATACAGTAGAAGCAGTAAAAGCAGAACTTGCATCATATCACAATGCATGTTTCATCATTTCAATACCATCATAATCAAGGACAGACTTCTATATCTGTTACCATGATGCTTAGGTATTTTGGAAGTTTAGGCTTTGCACCTCAGGAGACTTTCTCAGTCTTGGGAGCGTGAAGATATATGGACTTCAACTCCCAGAATTCCCTGGCCATTGAATTCTGGGAGTTGAAGTCCATACATCTTCAAGCTGCTAAGATTGCGAAATATTGCTTCAGACAGATCTTTGTAGACTCCTAGGATTCGAAGTTAGTGGCTATCTGGACACATTTGTTTATCTTGGCATTGCTTTCTGGAATGTCCTTTCAACTTCTAGCCTACAGCTTGGGAATTTCCTTGAATTCTTCAGTCCAAACAGTTGCCATGTTTTTGCTCTGCTTTTGCTCTTTTTTACCTCAAAATATCTTGGTTCTTCCTACTCCTCTCACTGTTTTTGTTTACTTTTCCTTAGAATAGTCAGACTGGAGCTATAGGGATTTGCAAATAGTTTTGGAATTAGAACTGCTTTTAAGGACCATTGTCAGTGGTTCTCTATAGTTCATACCATGTGATAGAACCATGTGTTTCAAGGTTATTTTTTCCTGTTTAAAGGAAATTAACCTTCCCTAGCATCCAGACATTGTATGACTGAGAATTAAAATTGCAAAACAACAGTCTCTAACAGTGTTTAATTCCACCATTAAACATTGTATACACCATAGCCTTTACCTCATTGACCTACTCTATATACACTGCAATATTCTGCAATTATGAGAACAACAGATAATTGTGGATAGGACTATAGACAAAGTAATAAAATATGTCCCAGTTTTCCTTCCACCCCATGCTTTAAGGCCCTTAACTCTTTCCCAAAAATTGTTTACTCAAGACCATAGAATCATACAATGGATGGAACAGAACACCTAGAAAATTGTTGCCCTTTGAAGGGCAGTATGCCCAACAAACAACCATTCAGCTTCTATTTTGTAACTCCAGCAAAGGAAAGTCAATCATCTCCCACACTCTTGTGTTGGGGAGTCTATTTCATTGCCCAACGGTTCTTACTATTACAGTATAATATTTCCCTAATGCCTTCCTGAAATCTACTTCTTTGCAATTTACATTATTTCATTTTTGTCTGGTCTTCGGGAACAAAGTTAAACAAAGCTAGGTTATCTTCTCCATGAAAGCCTTTTAGTTACTTGAAGATAGCTAGCATGTCTCCCTATAGTCACTTCTTCTCCAGGCTATCAACTCCAAACATTCCTCATAACCTTTTCCTTCTAGGCCCCTTATCATCCCAGTTCACCTCTGGAGATGCATTAATTTTTCAGTGCCCTTCCAAAAGTGCAGTGCCCAAAATTGGATATGATATTTCAGGTGTGGCCTGAGCAGCAAAGAATAAAAACAATTACTTTTCTTGATGTTGATCGTGTACTTCTGTTGATGTGATAACTGTCTTCTAAGTCAGTGATTCTCAGCTTTTATTCACCATGGACCTCCTTTAAACCCCTTTTGTGGCCATGGCCCATGGCCATAAACCCCCAAGACTTGACTCAAGATTTAAATTATAATATTTTGTCAAGCCTTTGCAGACCCTTTGTGATAACATTGCAGCTCCCTAGGGGTTCGTGGACCACAGGTTGAGAACCACTATTCTTATGCATTCATTGTTCATCCTATATGGCATCTACAAATTTGATCATCATCCAAGCCATATTAAAAACATGCTGAACAGTATAGGACTCCAACGTAGTTATATGCTACCTCTTTCCAGTTTGCTGGAGAGTCACTGATATGCATACTCACTGGGTGCAACTGTTCAATTAGAGTAGCATAATCCAACCCATATTTTGTCAACTGCTTTACTCATGGGAGTAAATCTCATGGGAGATTTTGTCAAATACTTTGCTGAAGTTGATATATGCTATATCTACCACTTTCCCAGCCTATCAAAAAAGGAAATTACATTGAATTGATATGGCCTGTCAAGCAGTTCTTTGTTTTCTTAATGGTCACAAACTGATTGCTTAGTAATCTGTTCCAGATCAATGTCAAGCTTATTAGTCTATATTCACTAATTTACTCTCTCTCTCTCTCTCTCTCTCTCTCTCTCTCTCTCTCTCTCTCTCTCTCTCTCTCTCTCTCTCTCTCTCACACACACACACACACACACACACACACACACACATTGAAGTTTAAAATAATATTTGCCTTTCTCTATTCCTCTGGCATTGTCTGGCCTATGAGGTAACCAAATGAAGAAATTGACTCTAGAAGAAACTTATAACTATATTTAAAGAGTATAACTTTAGTAACAGAAACTTTAAAGTCTGCTTATGTTTGACCTTCCCTCCCTGAGACAGGAAGGAGCCAGCCTGAGCCTCTTCATAATACTATCTCCTTTCCCAGGGTTTAACAAATGTTTCTGCCCTTGTTTCGATAACTATTTCTGACTATTCCCCTCAAGGCCATCTCTATGGCTCTCTACAGGCATTATGTCCAGCCTTCATATTTTTTCAAGGATCGCAGAAAGGTCTCCTTAAAACTCTAGTTTTCAGGTCTGGTCCCAACGATTTAGAATCATCCATGTATTCATTCAGTTGCTCCCTAGCCATGTATTGACTTACCTGAAATCTAGCACAAATGGGCAATTATGCTATTGTTATGTCTTTTGTAGTGTCTTGAAGCCCAGAAGATCTAGCTGGGCAGAGAAAACTGGAATGGTGGGAGAGAAAAAAAGAATAAATTAGCAGAAATTGTAGGGATGCAAGAATGAAATAGCAGTGAAGACATTTTTGCTTTACAGTACATATTTCATGTTATGTTTCAATTTTGCTTTCTCCACCACTGTTACGTGAAGTCATTCAGAGACAATGGTTAAAAAAAAAAGTAGCTAAAACCAGGATAGGAGCAGGGTAAAAAGACATTTGTTTTCAGCAGTAGACATCATACATGGTCAACATTTAATTTGTTGTTTAAAAATGAATTGTAATAGCAACCACTGGGGTCTTCTTATTTATGACCTCAAAGAGTTTATGAAAACCTAATTTCAACATGATTGTGACTATTTCCCTCAAAGGGGCAGTGCAGATTCCTGCTAGGCACCAGGCTGGCTTCAGTGGCGCCAATCTTGGCTAGGCTGCTGCTGCAGCGCTTGCAGCTTGGCTTCCATGCCAGCTGCCTTTCTTTCCTCTTGCTTCGACCTCTTTTTAACCTCATACCCCACCTTCTGTAAGGGAAGGCAAAAGGCTCACTCACCTTCTCATGAAAGTTGGCTTCCATGTTGTGGTGCTCCGGCGCCTCATGGCTCCTCCTAGAAGAGGCGGACAGCACCAGAGGGGACTGCACTTGGGCAGTCTCACACCGTACCGCCAGCGGGGCATTTTCAAAAGTAAACAAGGATAGGAAGGGCAACAATAGGAAAAGAACGCAACTCTGGAAAAATCTGTCAAAAAAAGGTGCCGGAATGCCTTTCCAGTACGTTCTATGACAAAAAAAAAAAAAAGCCCTGGTCATTTGTAACAGTTCAGGATGTCAAATACTTAGCATTAGATTTAAAGCAAAATATATTCCTACAGAGATGGAAGTGAGTAGCCTTCAGCATTTCAACCATTGCTACAGACTAAAAAGGCTCTAATCTTCACGGGTTCCATATTAAGGAGGATATTGTTTTTCCTACAACAAAGAAAAACAACGGATCCTAGGTCAAATGGTAAAAAAATGGAACAGTGTTGTCAACAGAATTCAGATCTTATCTTTTGCCACATTCCAAGGCCTCTCCCTCTATACCACACACTGTGCTTGGTGCTTGTTATGTCATTACACCATTTGGGAAAACATCTTGAAGTCCAAACACTCCTACATCCACCCTTTTGTACAGGAAATCTGCAATTAAAGTATCCAGCAACTCGTGCCTCCAGCTTCAGGGAAATTAAAACTTTGCACAGTACCACATCCAGTCAGTATACTCTAAGAATTTAAAATTGAACAGCTAACATTGTGTCAAGAAGAGAAGCCCCGTGAAGAGTGTCAGATTTCAAGATTTTTAAAAAAATCTTAATTTAAAGATTAAACTGATGTTAGGAGGTATGTATAAGGAAGAAGTCAGGCAGAATCCTGGTTACAGAAAATAAAAGCTGGCAACCTAGAATCTTCCCTGAATTCCTGTCCCTGAGCCCACATCCAGGGGGACCTTAGAGTAATTCTGCTAGCAAGATCCCTCTTGAGCTTTGGTCTCTCTACACAACCCAGTTTCCTATAACAGGGGTCTCCAACCCCTGGGCCTCTGACTGTTACCAGGCTGTGGCCCATTGGGAACTGGGTCTCCAAAGCAGTGGGTGAGCACATGAAGCTTCATTTGCACATGCATGGGATTTACTGTGGGCTGCACATGCAAAACTATTCCCCCACACCGAAATCCCTGAAACCACTGCTGCCGCTGGTCCATGGAACCACAAAAGTTGGGGATCCCTGTCCTACAAGGTCAGAGGTCCTGGTCCATTCTTGCATTCAGTAGATCGTGGGCTAATCCTAACCCCCAATTGATGTTTCTGGATTCTGGTTTAGCTAGCATTCCTAAAGCTAAGATGGTATTGCATTAAATGGTAGCATATAAAGTTGGGTGCTGTGGTGGAATGCAGTCCAGAGTTGTGGGAGGGAGGGGCTCTTTCCCAGAGAGCAAAGAGACAGCTGAACTTGGAATGTCTGGTGGCAGGAAGAGAACAGATCTGACCCTCCCTAGCAATTTGCAGAGTATATCTATAGTTATTGCAGATTAATTGCTTTAGTCTGGTAAAATTCAGTTTGTAGGCGTACAACAATAACAGAAATACTCAGTACCTGAGTAACTTTTCATGCCATTCTTGGTTCCTTTGGGCCTGACAGGTGCATATATTTCCTCAGTTTCTTTACATCTGCTGCCATTCATTATTATCAAAGCATATGTGCACCCAGCTTAAAATACAGTCCATATGCAAAAGTAATCCTGATTTCCTTATCATCATATCAAAGTTGCCGTAAGGTTCTTTACTACTACTACTACTACTACTACTACTACTACTACTACTATTATATTATTATTATTATTATTATTGTTGATTTTTTTTACAATAACAATACCTAGTGCTTAGCAAACAGTAGGTTGTCTGGGTTCATATATTTAAAAACAATCAATAATAATTAATTTATATAATTAATCAATATGTTAGTCAATGATATATTTCTTTCTATTATCTATTTTTGTGCTTTTCTTGACAAAATTTCATATTAAGTACCTGAGTGCAATCATGCATGCAGCTATGTCAAAATGACTATGATTTTTAATTATTGCATCATATCTCATATTTACAGCTGTGCCTCTGAAAACAAAGCATTTCTTCATGCATAAAAAAACAATTATTGTTATGTCCTGGGCCTGTGATTGACAGAGTAGGTGCAGGAAGCTGCAGAGAGACCCGGGGAGACCACGTGGCTGCCCGGCCAGACAGGCTGTCTCCAGCCTATTGCGCACGCCCAAAGCGGGAAAAATACGTTGCATTTATTGGCTGAAGCTATTCCCTGCAAAAGGTATAAAAGGGATCCACGCCATTTTCTGTTGGTTCTGTTGGTTCTATTGAAGCTTAAATAAAGAAGCCACTGTTGTTACACCTGCCTCGTCTCAATACCTTACCAACGCACAGAACAGAACAATTATGATATAATCATCTGGGTGATCACATCAACTAATCGCACAACTTATCTACATTCATCAGTACAATTAAAGAGGGGTCAAGGCACAAAGGAAATAGAGTGGAAGAAAGGGGAACATGCTTTGGGTTTTGTACAAAATTTAGCATGAAATGACACGCATTCAAAGTCTCAGAAGAAATTAGATGCACCTGAAATAAAGACAGGACAAAGCCGCAGGGAAGAAAAGCAACTTGCTTGGTTTGAGCCAAATGCTTATTTAGCTATTTGACTTGCTTGTTTTGCTTGTTACTATTTTATTTTAGTTACTCATTCAACTTACTTTCATCATGGAGGATGTGAGGGATGTAGACTGCCAGATCCTTCATCCCAAAGCCTCCTTTCAGAAGTTGAGGAGGTCAATTTTTTTCCTACCATTTCCCCCCCTCAGTTCCCATCTGTGGCTTCCAGTGAGGTCTCACCTGAGGCACTCGAAATTCCTGTAAAAAGGGTGAAATTCCCTGTTGTACAAAAGAATTTTCCTTTTGGCACTCCTAGATCAAAGCCTTTTCTTTTGTTTCATCCTTATCAAGCTTTTGATGTAGACACAAACACAGATGTTATGCAAGTTCTCCACTGAAGATGACTCAGTTTCATTGGGGGGGGGGGTTGAGATCTCTAGAACAGCCATGCTTAAACTTAACATAAATCAGGCGAATGCTGTCATCAGTTTAAACAAAGTAAAATAGAAGGATCTAGAAGAGAAACAATCTGTTTTTGCCAACCAGAGAATTGAAGCTCCTATTTTGACCCAACTGAGAGAGCTCAGGTGGTGCCCTTATCAGTTCCCTCTCTCTGCAAATAATAGTTTAAAGGTTAGGAATCATGGTTGGGAAGAGGGGAACAGAGATTAAATTCTTGAATGAAAGACTGTTGTCACCACATGCATTGTTTAATACATTCATAATCATTGCTTCCAGGCTTATTATATGGCCCTACTATTTTTTCTATTTCAGTTACAACATTCATACTAGTGGTGGGATTCAGCCAGTTTGCACCAGTTCGGCAGAACCAGTAGCTAATTTTTTGTTGCTCAGGCCCAGAATGGACTTCCAGAAGTTGCATCCGCACAGAGAACCAGTTGTTCACATATTTGAATCCCACCACTGATTCATACTATCTGCATGGCAATTTAAAACTTCGATTTTCATTTAGAAAATCTCATCTCACACACACACACACCACCCCCTTTTGAAGACCCAGTTAAATTTGAAGTTCCAAGTGATTCCAAAGCATTGGTTATTGGTCTTTCTTTCTTTTAGGATTCCTGGATTCATTTCAGATGTGCACTTCTCCCTCTTACCTTTCTAACATTCCTTTCCTTACAGCAATGTAATTTGCACCCCCACTGTTGTGCAGCAGGGATTTCCCAAGATCCCCAGCATGTCTTATTGCCACTGCCAGTCTTGCCACCAGTTGCACAATTACGAAATGGATTGTAAGGGTTGCCCTGGGGCTCTGTTGTGAAATGTGAGTTGGTAGATAGGAGGTGGGACAAGCAGTCTAAGAGCAGATGATGCCCACCAGCACAAGGCCATCAAGCCGGAAAACATATTACATCCAGCTGAAAGGGGAAAAAAAAACCACACACACACACTTCCCTGGGAGTGGACAAGTTTAGAAGTTTTCTATTATCAGTGTTATTTGCATCTGATGCCATATAATGGTTAAAGGAGCAAAGTGGTCTATTGCCTGCCTGGTTGATAACAGTATGGGAAATTCCCAAAGGAGGGGATGGGGAAATGCAGCGGATATAATCTTTGTTAGTATTAAGATTCAGTTTTGAGGATCTATGGAAAGAAGGAAGAATAATAAAATAAAATACAAAATACTATTTTTAGCCATGGAAACTTGGAGGATGATTTTGAACCAGTCGCTCTATATTTCATCATTTTAGCCATTGTCTATCCACAACAGGATGAAGACCTCTTCCACATATCTCCACCTATATGGTCCTGAGCTTTCTTTTGCCAACTGGGCCCACCATGCTTGCTGATGTCATCGATCCATTTTGTTTTAGGTCTCTTTCGGACACTTTTTATTGAATGAGATTCATTCTATGACTGCCTTGGTCCACCTACCCATTCTATCCAGTCTACATCACAGGTTGCACTTGGGATAAAATGAAGGGAGATCTTTACATAAGGCAATTTGACCTTCTAGGGGAAACACAGAATATAAATCTAGTACATAATGGTAAATAAAAGACAAGGAGGTGTGGCACAAATATAAAATACAAAATGAATGCAAGTATCATACCAAGCGTGGGGTGGGGGGGAGCTATGCAAACTGAAGAGACCGGAAATAAACAAATAAAATCCCACCCTTTCCCATGGACATTGAATTTTTGGAAGTAGAATTTCAGGAGGGAGAATGGAACAGTGTGACTGCTGGCTGTGCCTATCAGGAACAGCCTTTCCTGTAATACTCTGGTAGGAGTTTCCACTTTCAGGTAAATTAAAGAATCCAGCTTCCTTGCCTTACAGCTGTTCAAAGCAGAAGGACAACACTTATTCTTGTCTAGCCAGATTCCTCCCCCAAGCCAAAAAAGGCCTTCAACATATTGCCCATTTCCGAGTTACTTTTATTAAATACCAAGACTGGGTATGCTAATGAGAGGGGAACATCCTGTAGAAACTCCTCTGATGATTCAATGGGAATGTTTGCTGAACGAATTACAGTACATGAATACTATCATGATGCACTGTTTACTTAGAGATCTAGTGGCTATTATTGTATAAATAATAAGCACACATCACCACATACATCAAGACAAAACTATGACCCAATTATGGGGATGGGGGAGTGGGGGCTACCTTTTGCAAACCAAAGCAGCAGGAGACTCAGTTGAGGGGTGGGGCTGTGGGATGAAACAGAGTTTTGTCCAGTGCGCAGAAGAAGCAGGTGGCAGAAGGCAGAATTGGGAAAATGACCTCTGTGGCTTCCTTTGACCCATCCCCGTCCACTTAAACAGTCCCTTTCATTGTTTCCCT